GCTGTCACCTTCTCAGTGAGGACTTCGGGTCACCCTCTCTAAAATTTTTACATTCTCCTCTCACTCCCATCGCCCTTCCCTGCTTTACCTTCCTCTCTAGCAGTTGTGAAATGTATATTATAAATACACATATCTAATAAATTCTTGTTCGTTTATTACCTTTCCACTCCACCCAGAATGTAAACTTCACACGGGCATGATTTTCGACTGTTCTGTTCACTGCTCTATTCTCAGCATCTAGAACTGTACCTGGCACATAATAGGAACTCAATAAAGATTTGTCAAATGAATATTTCAGAAAAGGGATGGATCACATAGCTGGAAGGATCAATGTCAGTGAAAAGGTCAGGCTCCATGGGGGGCATTGGGAAGTATCTGGTGGGCCCAGTGCTCACGGTTCTTAAAATTATGCCACATGGGTGATCCCTCTCCCTTCCTCTCTTTCTTCCTCTCATAAATATTTATTAAATGCCCTCTCAGTGTCTAGCCCCCAAGTTAGGCCTGGGCCATGCCTAAGAGGTCCTGCCCACAGGCATAGCTGACTGCAACCCTCACTTGTAGAATAAAGGTGATTCCACCAGCCAGTGTGATGGGAGCATCTGCTCTTTGGCTCCATGCAGGGAGGTGTTGGTGCTGGTCTGTTTGTGCATCTACAGAGCTTCGCCTAGAAGAGGGTGGGGCACACCTGCCACTACTACATGGGCCCCTCCCAGCCCCTCCAGAACTGGAAGAACATGGTCAACCCTGCCAACCCTTCCAAGGCACAGAGAACAATTACGCACAAATGCCCCATCAGGGGGCCATAGGCAGATGAGTAGATTATATCAAAGATGGCAATTTTATTTGTTTTTAGTATCAACGTTGTAAAATTACTCCACATTTTTTTCTCTCACATCACTCAGTATCTTACCACTGCTAACCATTTCCATATTTCCTGTTTTCTTCCAGGCCTTTTCCATATGCTGTCCACATGGTTGTATCCCTGGCGTGGATTGTGCTCCAGTCCCTGACAGAGGGCAGCAACTGGATTGACATGGAAAAGCCCTGTTTTCTGAGCCAGGACTTAGGGAGAAAGCATTGGCCCCACATGGGGCTAGAAGACCTGCCAGCCGGGACCCTGCGAGCACCAGCGCTGGCAGTGCCTGGACAGTCTCAGGCTCATCAGCTTGAATGCTGAGCTCAGAAGCCTGTGAGAAGCTGAGGCCTGTCAGGCTTGGAGGACAATGGCCATGTATACTGCACTGTGGCAAATCCCTGGGGGAAGGGAGAAGCTGGAGGGTGAGAGGACCCAGGTGAGTTTCTGGCTCATAATTCCCTTCTGAGACTCCCAATACGGATGCCCAGGCCCCACACCTAGAGACTCAGGAGGGATCAGGGCTTCTGTGTATTTTTAAGTCCCACAGAGAAACAGATTTTTTCATACCTTGCCAAGGGGAGTGTAATCAGTACAATTTGGCAGTTAGCTATCAGAATTTTAAAAGCTTGTGCCCTTTGACTTAGTAATTTCACTTCTAAGAATTTCCTCTATAGAGATACGTGCATATTGTGTGAAAAGCTATGAAGACAGGCAATGTGGTGATGTTTATGGTAGCAAAGGCTAGAAACAACCCACATGTCCAAAACGTTCTGATTTTTAAAGTTTGTAGTATATCTGTACAATGAATACTCTGCATCTTTTAAAAAAGAATGAGGAAGTGCTGTGTAAACCAAAGTGGAACTATCTCCAAGATTTACTGTTAATTTTAAAAGATTGAAGAATAGTGTGTAGAATACGCCATCCTTAGTATGATGTAAGATCATGTATGCACACGTCATCTTGTAAGAAATTAGGAACAGTGGTTGCCTCTGGGAAGGGAACTGGATGACTGGCAATGGGACAGGAGGGAGATTTGCTTTTCAGAACATTTTATACCTTTTTAAGCTTTGCACCATGTGGGTATATATTTACTTAAAAAATGAAAAGGAAAAGCTGCACTAGTGATTCTAAAGTTCACAAAGATTAAGAACCAATATCAATGAGGAAGTCATGAGACCACCAGGAGAGAGTGAACATGTCCCTTAAAATACAAAAAAGCGTTCAGCAGAGGGTGAGAATGTTTGCCTGGGGTGGGCGTGGGTGGGCACCAGCTAGGAACAGAGGCTGGTCCCAGGGACATACAGCTAGGCTAGAACAGTTGTGCATGAGAGTCTGGTTCTTACTCATTCTAATCTGACCCCAGAGACGGTAGTTTTTCTTCTCTGGAATGTCATTGCCCTTTGGACTGTGAGCTGTGGTTTTAGCTTTTGGATTCTGACCAGCATCTTCAAATCTGTCAGTTTCTCCCTCTCGAAATCTTTCACTTTGGCTTCATTTTTGCCTCCTTGGGCCTGAGATCTTTCTCTCAGCTCTACCCAGAGCAGCCTGGCTTTACAGATAAGATTGTATCCAGATGTCGGAGGCCGTGACATCCCATGTGACAGTGCTCCCCTGGTGTCCCATCCACAGAATTTCCCATGCTTCACCCTCCTCCCCTTTCTTTTTCTGTACACAGCTCTCATCAACCCCCTTGAGCTGCCTCCAACTCTTTGCTCATGTCTGTTCCCAGCAACTTTTTCTTCTTCCAGCACATTCTGCCTTAAATTATTAGTTTCCCGAAACAGAGCCCATTAGTTTTCACAACACTACCTTTCTGATCTCATTGTTGATCAGAAAGCTTCTTTTCCTCCCATGATGCCTGCCTCTCTTTCTGCAGGTCCATTAGACCCACCCTGGCCTGTGTGGGAAGCAAGTCTCTATCAGGCCACACATGAACATATCTAATGACCACAATCACAGTTTACTGTGACTTCTCCTTTCTAGAGGGGCTTACCCTGAATCAACACATATTTCCAGGATGTGGCAAAATATGCAGTACTTAAATGTACAGGCTCTGCATTCAGACTCCCTAGGTTAAATTCTTCCTCTGCCAGCTGCACAATTAGAGGTGTGGCCTTGACAAAATTACTTAACTTCTCTGGGCCTCATTTTTCTCATCTGCAAAATGGGGAAAATAACAACACTTTCCCCATAGAGGTGTTGTGAGGATAAAAGAAGAAGATGTAACTCAAGTGTTGATTGTAGAGCTTGGCCCGTATCAAGCTCTCAAACAACAATGGCTATTTTGTTATTATTTTTTACTGGGACAAGTGATTTAGCTTTGGAACTCTTTTTTCTGAAGACAATGTTCCGTGGTTTTATACCTAGGTGCTAACATGATTATATGAACCTAATGTATGGAGACCATATCATTTTAACCAACATGCCTATATGTGAGTCATTTCTAGCACATTTCATACGAATTACCTCATTTGGTTCTTAAAATGAGCCTGGGCCCCAGGCACGGTAAGGGTTATCATTTTGCCATTCCTATTTCACAGAGGCTTAGACACATTTAACGTGTCTTTTCCAAAGTCATATAACAAGCAATTGGTGAAGCCATATCTAGCCTATAGTTTCCTATCTCTTTCCATTAAATCATGTAGATCAGGGGCTGCAACTTTCTGCAAAGGGTCAGATAGTGAATAGTTTACGCTTTATGGGCCACATGCTATCCCTGTCTCATATTCTGCTTTTTTTCTTTTTTTTTTAACAACCCTTTAAAAACGTGAAAACCATTCTTAGCAATAGGCTGGTGCAGAAATATGTCATGTGCGACCTTTGGCCCAAGGATTGTAGTTTACCAGTGGCTGATATAGATTATGCTGATAAATCAAAATACAAACTAATGAAATGATTATACTTAAGAAAGCTTACCCTTTGTTAGCAATCATTATTAATATTTACTGAATGGTTACTATGTGTGAAATACTGTTCCAAGGGTTGTATAAGTATTAACTTATTTAATATTCACATCCATCCTATTTGTTAGGATCTATTGTCAGTCCTGTTTTATAGATGGGGAAGCTGAGACAGGGAAGTTAAATAACTTTCCTAAGGTCACATAGCCAGTAAGTAGCAGAACTGGGATACAAATCCAAGCAGTTCAGCACCAGAACCTGTGCACTTAAACCTATCATATCTCAGTTGGGAACACTGACTGGTACAGCTGTTTGGGAGAGAGAAAGGGGATAGGGGAAGCCTCATAACCCCTAGAAGCTTCTGGAATAAATATGTTTTAGAACCATTCACTTCGAAGCTAAGGAGGTGTGAAAACATGCCACCTGTGTTCTATAAAGAATTGCCAGGCTGGAAACCTGCATAAGCTTTCCTTCATGCCATTACAATAGAAGATACAGATGAGACTACAGAGGCATCTTGATTTTAGAAAAGCACTTGATTGGATCTCATTAAATTTTAATCATAAACTGAATTCAAAATAAATTGAAAACTGGTTGACAGAGCACAAACAAAGGGTGATGATAAATGATGGTGCATCTAGAGAGGGGGTATCTTCCAGGGGATGCTGCTGAGGCAAGGACGGATGGGATTTAATGAAGGTGTATGTCCCTGAAAGAAGACAAATAGCATTGCAAGGAACAGAGGAAGGGCAGGAGTGAGCAGCCTGAGTAATTAATAAACCACATCAACAGCTCCCAAATAATCAAGGCTTGGTGTTCACCAACTGCTTGGATTTTTCTTTTTTTTTTCTTTTTTAGCATCCTTTGGGTCAGCATGGATATTTCAGGTGGATATAATAAATTAATATAGAAATTTACACCTGGGAGGATCCTCAGATCCAGTTTGAACCAGATACTTTCAATTACAGATTCTCAAGGTCTTACTTCATTCTCCAGAGAGTAATTTTTTTTTAATGTGTCTAAAAGTAACAGATTAAAGAAAAATCTTTAAACTCATTAATGGTCTTTGTTTACTGCCCAAATGCATGCAAACTTTCATAACATTGGTTTGCTTAGTGGAAGGCTGGTTTTGAGTGAACTGTCTGGCTCAGATTCAAACTCCAGTGAACAAATACTTCCAAGTTTACTTGCAAAATTTCCCAGACAGAGAAGTTCTTCCATTAGGTTTGCCAGAGGATTTGAAACAGTGGTGAGCCCTGGAGACAAGGGAACGTTTGCTGGCTCTTGGACATAACCTTGCACAGTAAGGCTCATATCAGGCTGAAGGCAGTGCAGCATGAACTGACCCGATTTGAGGGAGTTCGCTCTGGGACTCCTCTGAGCTACTAAATGAGGAGATGGACTAATGAGAATGTACTGACTCCGCCACATTGGAAGTTGATAATAAACATTTACAAAACAAACTCAAACTGGCCCATTTTTGTTGTTGTTGTTGTTTGTTTTGTTTTGGTTTTTTCAGAGAAGATGTTTTCTCTAAGTACACATTTGTGATTCCTAATTCAGTCTAGGCCACAGAGTGAAAGAGAAGAAGGGGTGGAAAGGAAAAATTAGGAGGTGAGGAGGAACGGCTGGGAAGGAAGAGAGGAAAATGGGAGAGGAGAGAAGAAAAGTGGGGAAACCGTGAAAAAAACATTTTTTATTTGCTCTTTATTGGTGTAGGAGATAGACTTATTTAAATTTGTATGCATTATTGGGCACAAGAAGGAACAGTTGGGAGAAAAAGGAAAGAAGGAATACAGGTAGAAGGCAAGAGTGTTATAGCGTAAGCTGGTAGGCCAGGGCAAACAGCTCAGAGTAGGAAGAGAGTCCAGAGACAGGAGGGAGACTTGTTGACCCTGGAAGAGAAAAAAGGAAACACATCACGATCCTGAGTGCAGAAAAACAATGAGGCAGAGGAGAGCCAAGTTTCCCTCATCACTGGAGGAGCTGCCAAGACCCCAGGCAGTCTAGGTCCTTGGGGTGGAAGGAGGGGGGCTCGTGGCCTGGGGGCTCCAGTCAGTCCCATCCCTCCCAAATTGCTTTATTTCAGCACCTTACTAGGAACCAAGCCAAATTGTCATAGCTCTAGGGTCCACCATGTGGATGAAAGCCCATCCTTCCTTGGCCAGTTTACAACTTCTGGTCTCCAGGAAGGTCTGTGTACATACGTGAGTGCACACACACAAGCATACACACACAGGGAGCAGAGCATACGTGGGCAACTAGGCCTGCTGGGCAAGAGACGCAAAGAATGTCAGGGAGAAAGAACAGCATAGGTTTCAGGAACTAAAAATATCTTGGTGACAATGCATTGGGAAGAAACAGGAGAGGCCTGGGGGACAGCTTCTTGATTCCAATCCTCAGATGCGTTCTCACGGAAGGGCTGCAGGATTGTTTTGATAAGGAGATGTGATCAAACATGAGGGGTCATTTTGTTGGATATGAAAGGAATTTAAAGTTTAATGTGCCTCATGTGTGCTTTTTTTTTTTTTTTTTT